CCGAATATATTTGTATAATTGTGACGAAGTGCCCTTCGCCACTTGGTCTTGGAGAGGCCTACTTGCCAGCCTCCTCGACTGTGACTATGACTCTTTCATGTATCTGGCTTTAAAGCCCCTAGTCTACCTTCAGACAGACTATTTATGGAGGCTGCTTTATTTATCTTATGTTTTAGTCACCCTGTACCCATTATAGGTGCAGGGTGTGTGTAATGTAATTGTTTATAGTGTGTGTGTGTGTACTGTGTAATGTATTGCCTGCTCTCTTGTATTGCTGAGGTTTGCTATCAACTAGGTGGGTTTGGCTATGGAGCTTGTCTAGTGCCCTCTGTTGGTAGCAACAGCAATATGCACTACCTGAATTGCAAGACTGGTTCATTTGCATATTCGGGTAGATTTGCATATTGCTAATTCTGCAGGCAGGTGAGATATTTACTGTTAAATATTGTCTCCCCCCACCCCTTTAAAAATGTGCCATTGTGTTGTGATAAGTCACTGTGTGCTGCTTGATACGGTTTAACTGTTTGTGATTTTATTGAGGTTTCACAACAATGTTATTGTGGTGACCCTATTGGCTGGTCCCAAGGGAAATAAAGGTTTTGACAGTTCTTCTTGATCCCTCTAAATGTAGCCTTGTCTCATTATTGGAGGGAGATGTTATAATCACACTGGGGATTGCTATGCTCTGCATGCTCCCCTTAGCTCTTTTAAGAGCTTGTTCCTGACACGCTCTCCTTGGAGGAGGGGTCTTCACCACACAGTCCTGGATGCTGGAGGTTCATACAGGGTGGAAGGAAGAGTTCTTTCCCACACACTCCTGGAGGACAGAAGCTGATCCAGGGTGGAAGGAAGACAGCGAGACTCCAGTCAAGATATGGTGGTTGCGGAGTCTGCGGTGGTTGTGGTGTCTGCTGCAGCGCTTGGAGTCCTCAGGAAGCGCTAGGAGCATCCATCAACGGAGGGTACTCAGTCGGAGTACAAGGAGCTCCGTTACAATAATGTTATCATATCCCCTCTGAGGCGTTGTTTTTCAAACTAAATAGGTTTAAATTTGTTAACCTTCCTTCATAGCTGATAAGTTCCATTTCTTTTATTAATTTTGTAGCCCGCCTCTGCACTTTTTCTATTGCAATGATATCCTTCTTTAGAACAGGTGCCCAAAATTGCACAGCATATTCAGTATGTGGTCTTACCAGTGATTTATGAAGAGGCAAGATGATATTCTCATCCCGAGAATGAATGCCCTTTTTCATGCATGACAATACCTTACTGGCCTTAGCCACTGCTGATTGACATTGCACATTGTTGCATAGTCTGTTGTCTATAACAATTCCCCAGGGCTCGAGTCCTGCAGGAACGCGTGGGAACGGCGTTCCTGCACTTTTTTCACAGCAGGAACGCCGTTCCCCCTGCAGGCACTCAGGGGGCGGCAAATGCCGCCCCCAAATGCCCTGTGTTCCCCTGTCATGGGGGGGGGGAACCTGATGGATTTCCCCCCCGGCGAACGGCTCTCTCCCTGTCACACGCGGAGAGGGAGCAGAGAGCACACAGCTCCCTCTCCGCGTGTGACAGGGAGAGAGCCGTCCTCACTGCAGCCCCACTGGACCCCAGGGAAAGGTAGGGATGCTGGGTGGGTGGGATATGTTAATTTTTTAATAATATTATTAATTTGTATATGTGGATGTCTGTTTGTGGATGTCTGTTTGTGGATGTGTGGATGTGGATGTCTGTGTGTGGATGTCTGTGTGTGGATGTGTGGATGTGGATGTCTGTGTGTGGATGTCTGTTTGTGGATGTCTGTGTGTGGATGTGTGTATGTCTGTTTGTGGATGTCTGTGTGTAGATGTCTGTTTGTGGATGTCTGTATGTCTGTTTGTGGATGTGTGGATGTGGATGTCTGTTTGTGGATGTGTGGATGTCTGTGTGTGGATGTGTGGATGTGGATGTCTGTTTGTGGATGTCTGTTTGTGGATTTGTGAATGTCTGTTTGTGGATTTGTGGATGTCTGTTTGTGGATGTGTGGATGTGGATGTGTGGATGTCTGTTTGTGGATGTCTGTTTGTGGATGTGGATGTGTGGATGTCTGTTTGTGGATGTGTGGATGTCTGTCTGTGGATGTCTGGATGTGTGGATGTCTGTCTGTGGATGTCTGGATGTGTGGATGTCTGTCTGTGGATGTCTGTTTGTCTCAGTGTGTGTAGGAGTGTATTTATGTCTGTTAGCGTTTGTACGTGTGTATGTGAGTGTATGTGCTTCTGTTAGTGTATGCATGTGTATGTTTGCAATTGCATGTATGTGCATACGTTATTGTAAGTTTCTGTCAAATAAGTGAGTCTGTCATTTAGTGTGTGTGTGACTATTAGTGTGTGTCTCTCTGTCAATGAATGAGTGTGTGTCAGTGAATGTGTGTGTCAAATCAGTGACGTATGTGTGTGTTACTTACAGTGTGTATCTGCCAGTGTGGGTGTCTGTCAGAGAGTGTGCTTAAAGGGACACTATAGGCACCCAGACTACTTCAGCTCCTTGAAGTGGTCTGGGTGCAGTGTCCCAGTCCCCTTAAACCTTCTCAGAAACTGCAATAATTACCTGAGGGGTAACTCCAAGTCTAGTGGCTGTCTATCAGACAGCCACTAGAGGGACTTTCGGGTAGTTAGGTGACCAAAAGTCACCTAACTGATGCTGGACGTCCTCACCCTGTGCATGAGGCAGGCCCGGACTGGCCATCGGGCACACCGGGCAAATGCCGGTGGGCCGCGATGTCCATGGGACGAGGCCGGCAGGGGAGGTCTCAGGATCTCCCATGCCGGTCTATGCAGGGCCGGCACTATCCGAGCGCCGGCCCCGCTGTCTTCCACGGAGGGCCGATGGGGAGATCAAAGAGCTCCCTCACCGGCCCATTTAAACAGACCTGCGGCTGGGGAGGGAGGGAGAGGACCCGGCGGAGCTCTAACTTGCAGCTCCGCCGGGTTCCTCTCGCGAGATCCGGCGCGTTGCCATGGCAACGACCGGATCTCGTGAGTGTGAACTCTAGCCTACAGGACCACCAGGGATGATGAGTGCCACCCCCCCCTCCTCCCAGATACCACCGTGCCAGACCCCTCCCAGGCTAAAGGTAAGGAGAGGGGGGGAGATATAATGCATTTTTGTTGTTGTTTTTTTTTACCCTCCCAACACACAATCACTTTTAACATTCACACACAGCAGTCTCACACACATCACCCTCAGCACTATCACACTCAGCACTATCACACACAGCACCCTCACACACATCACACTCAGCAGTCTCACACACATCACACCCAGCACTATCACACACAGCACCCTCACACACATCACATTCAGCAGTCTCACACACATCACACTCAGCACTATCACACACGGCACCCTCACACACATCACACTTGGCACCCTCACACACATCACACTTGGCACCCTCACACACAGCACACTCAGCACCGTCACACAAATCACACACAGCACCCACACACACAAAGCACACACCACACACACAGCACCCACACACACAGCACACACAGCACCCTCACACACAAATCACACACACTGCACCCTTAAACACAGCACCCTTAAACACATCATACACAGCATCATCACACACAGCACCCTTCAAACACAGCATCCATTACACACACATACTGGACCCTTCACATACACACTACACCCCTCACAGACACCCACTGCACACCTCACACATACACACAGAACCCCAACACACTGCACTAAACACACACACACACATACAATACTTCCAAACATATATATATATATTTTATATTATATAAACACACACCACAGCACCCTTCACACACACTGAACCCCTCACACACATACTGCACCCCTAAACATATTACATTCCAGACACACTATCCCTTACCCAACTATGGATCATATACACACACTAAATCCCTATATACACTCTGATTCCATTATATACACACACTCACTAGATCTCATACACATTCTGGGTCCTTCAAACACACACTAGACTCCTGTATACACACACACACACACTGCACCACCTACACACACTACATTCCTAACATACACACTTTGGATCCCTGATACACACACACTAGATTCCTTGTAAACAAACACATGCTACACCCCTAAACGCACACTCTCTACAACCCCTACAAACACTACATCACCTATATACACACACACACACTATAGCCTGTGTGCATACATTTACTACATCCCCTATACACACATTCTCTTCAGCTCCTAGCCACATATGCATTACATTACACCACAAACACAACACGACTAAAACCAACCTTATTACACAATACCAAACCACGACCAGCTCACTCTGCACACACACAATCCCAAAGCAGGCTCCAAACACATGCACAATACTCTTTCCTTGCCCTTTTGTCTCCTGGTATCCATTTATAGAGACACCAGAGACAAGTTTCAAGGAAACACAGTGCAAGCATGTTATTAAATTTGCTTGCACTGTGCAGAACAAATACAGGGTTTTTTTTCTTCTCATGCTAGAGCTCTTAGCAGAGCTCTGCCCTGGAAGAGCATTGACCCAACGCTCACTTTGAGAGGGGTCGTGTTTGTCTTTGGTGATGACGAAACACACCCTCTCTGCCCCGCCCCCTTCTTAGTGGGCCGCTGTGCTAAAAAAATGCCCGGGCTGAATTTTTCTCCCAGTCCGGCCCTGGCATGAGGACATCCAGCATCTGCTAAATACCCATAGGATTTTAACCCCTTCAGTGTCGAGTGGGGGAGGGGAGGACATGAGAGGAGGGGGGCACTATACGGAATTATAGTGCCAGGAAAACAACTTTGTTTTCCTGGCACTATAGTATTTCTTTAAAAGGAGCAGGAAAAGGTGGAGTCTAAAGAGGAAGGGGTGGGTTCTTAATCAGGAAGCGGTGCGCCCTTGACATGAAGGAGTGGTAAATTTAGATTAGGGGGGTGCTCTATAGTCATGTCTAGGGCAGCATAAAATTAAAATACACCACTGTGTGAGTGTGTGTGCACGCGTGTGTATGTATGTGTGTATATATATATATATATATACACATACACACACACACACACACACACACACATACATATATATAAACATACATACAAGTGTTTTGGGGTTTTTTTTGGGAGAGTTCCCACACTTTTTTCCCCAGGACTTGACCCCTGCAATTCCCAAGTCCTTTTTGTGTGTTGTTATCCCTAATTCGCTTCCATTAAGGGTCTACGTTGCCTTTGCATTCTTTATGCCGAAGTGCATAATTGCATTTTTCAACATTAAATTTGATCTGCTATTTGAGTGTCCAGTCACCCAGTCTATCTAAATCCCTCTGCAACAAAGTCATATCTTGCTCACATTGAAGCACACTGTCCTAGTGTGAGCTAAGAGATTAACCTGGAATTAGAGGCACTGTCCTAGTGTGAGCTGAGAGATTAACCTGGATTTAGAGACACTGTCCTAGTGTGAGCTAAGATTAACCTGAAATTAGTGACACTGTTTTAGTGTGAGCTAAGAGATTAACCTAGAATTAGAGGCACTGTCCTAGTGTGAACTGAGGAATTACCCTGGACACTGTCCTAGTGTGAGCTAAGAGATTAACCTGGAATTAGTGACACTGTCCCAGTGTGAGCTAAGAGATTAACCTGGAATTAGTGACACTGTCCTAGTGTGAGCTGAGATATTAACCCGGAATTAGTGGAACTGTCCTAGTGTGAGCTGTAATTAGTGACACTGTTTTAGCGTGAGCTGAGTGATTAACCTAGAATTAGTTGCACTGCCCTAGTGTGATCTGACAGATTAACCTGGAATTAATTTAATCCAATAAAACCAATGGGCTCTTATATAACCGAGCCAAATAATTCCATATCTGCTCTGTGTAGCTAAAACTGTTCAGCAATATTCACACCATTAACACATTGGTTAATATCAATAAACTCCACAATGAATGCACCCTAATACTGGAAGACAATTTAACCCTACCAATGCTGGAAGTAAAACACCGCCAGGCAATATAGATTCCCCAAAACATAGTATGTAAGTCAAACACAACACACTCACCATCAGAGCAACAAACAGCATTTAAAGGATAAAGCAATAACTCGCAAGGAATTCACACGTCATACAAAGTAACCCATTGTATTCAATCAAAACACAAACATTTTTTAACTTAATCTTTAAAACATCTCCACAGACAGGCAGCGTGCTAAAAAGTGTCAAAGGTTTTGTAAAAGGTGAAAAACATCACCAAAGTACTTGTACTCTGCTCCTCCTACCCCTGGACTCCCAGACTGACCATCTTGTGCTCCTCCTCCCCTACACCTGGACTCCCAGACTGATCATCTTGTATGGTCTTCTCCTCCACTACACCTGGACTCCCAGACTGATCATCTTGTATGGTCTTCTCCTCCACTACACATGGACTCCCAGACTTACCATCTTGTACTATGTGCTCCTTCACTACACCTGGACTCCCAGACTGACCATCTTGTACTATGTGCTCCTCCCCTACACCTGGACTCCCAGACTGATCATCTTGTATGGTCTTCTCCTCCACTACACCTGGACTCCCAGACTGATCATCTTGTATGGTCTTCTCCTCCACTACACATGGACTCCCAGACTTACCATCTTGTACTGAAAAAGGAAAAACACAGGCTGCACTCCAGGACAATGAAAGTAAGTTTTATTCGTGGGTTCACCACCTCACCAAGAAATAAGTGCAACGTTTTGGCTCCACAGAGCCTTAATCTTGCATGATTAAGGCTCTGTGGAGCCGAAATGTCACATTTATTTCTTGGTGAGGTGGTGAACCCACGAATAAAACTTACCTTCATTGTCCTGGAGTGCAGCCTGTGTTTTTCCTTTTTCAAGACTGCATTGGTGGATTCAGCAGCGTCCATCCTATACACAGAGCGCCTCTTTGATAGAAGGCCAGAGTATTCATGCGGATCTTGTGTGCAGGGTATACGGTTTATGCCTAACCATCTTGTACTATCTTCTTCTTCTTTACACCTGGACTCCCAGACTGACCATCTTGTACTATCGGGTCCTTCACTACACCCGGACTCCCAGACTGACCATCTTGTACTATCTGCTCCTTCACTACACCCGGACTCCCAGACTGACCATCTTGTACTATCTGCTCCTTCACTACACCCGGACTCCCAGACTGACCATCTTGTACTATCGGGTCCTCCACTACACCCGGACTCCCAGACTGACCATCTTGTACTATCGGGTCCTCCACTACACCCGGACTCCCAGACTGACCATCTTGTACTATCTGCTCCTTCACTACACCCGGACTCCCAGACTGATCATCTTGTACTATATGCTCCTTCACTACACCCGGACTCCCAGACTGACCATCTTGTACTATCTGCTCCTTCACTGCGCTGCCAGTCTGGGTGCTATAGATCACACGGCTCCTTCACTGTGCTGCCTGCCTGGCTGCTATATCTCTATCTAAATAATCACACAGCTCCCTCACTGTGCTCCCAGACTAAACATAGGATAAAATACACTGTCCCACAGACATACAATAGCCATGCGAAAAAAACCCCACAAATAACTTCCCAAGTTTATGTATTGTCTATTATTGTTATATAACCCATGGTGAGTCAGTGATTATTGCAGCAATGGGACTTCCACAATAACGGTCAAATCAATCCTAAATGATAAATAAACAGTTGGAACAAAGTAACTTCTTTTGGCAATTTGGACAGCCGTAGACCAGCTCCATCCCTTGGCCCCTGCCCTGTTTGTGATGAAGGCACCTGACCTTCTCCTTTCACAATTCTCAGTATTCCCTAAGATGTCCATTATCTCGTAAACTTGTCTTTGAAATCCAATCATGGCCGGACGTACACAAGGAAGCCCATTGTTTGAGGGGAGTAGAATCTGTCTGTTTCTCATTAAAGAGCTTGGCCCAATTCCTGAACAAGCAGAACATCCCAGCTTGATGTACAATTATCTTCTCGCCTGGATCTTCTCTCCACCTCTCCCATGCCCTGCTGCTCTCCTCTTTTTTTAGAGAGGCCCATGGGCAGCAATGTTATTGTATTACAAGTGGTGGCTAGTCACTTATGGTTGGCTGGAGCCAATCCTTGATTGATCGCCAGAGCCAAGTGTGAGTCAGGTTCACATTGTGATACTAATCCATGTTAAAGGATAGCACTGACTCTATAAATTCATATTACAGCTCACTAATTTCTTATTAGAATTGCAGGCTGACCCGGGTCCATTTCTTCATACTGTGCATTTATAACCAGGAGCTTTGATGAAGAGCAGACACATTCCAGTTCCATATTATAGCGTCATCCTTTACTTGATAATTGTAGATCTTAAATTATAATATTAAGGGTTACAACATTCACAGCAAAAAATGCAATGTGCACAACTAAGCTTTGATTATTTAAGGTTTGATTATAAACTTGGGATACAATGGTTACATATAACATTTCAAAATGCTCCCATGTAAATAGCGTGAAGGTTTAGTCCATAGAAATATATTCATGTGCGAAGTCTGAGCGTTGGACTTTTTAAAGCGACTCTCTTTGCCCCAAGATGTAATCAGAAAGAAGCAAAAAGTGAAATGTTTCCTGGGTTCATTTTTATACTTATACTAAGCCGTGTCAGTCAGTTTAAGGCATTCAGCCTGCTGGATTGTGGAGCAGCCGTCAAAACTGCGATCAAATATGATAGAATTTTCTGACTGCATCACCCAGTGAGTACTGCGCATGTTGCGCTTGTGTGTACTGCACATGTACTATTGGTGTGTACTGTGCATGCACTATTGGTGTGTACTCCACATGCTGCACTTGTGTGTACTGCGCATGCTGAGCGTGTGTGTAGTGCACATGCACTATTGGTGTGTACTCCGCATGCTGCGCTTGTGTGTACTGCGCATGCTGAGCGTGTGTGTAGTGCACATGCACTATTGGTGTGTGCTGCGCTTGTGTGTACTGTGCATTCACTATGGGTGTGTATTGTGCATGCTGTGTCGGTGTGTATTGTGCATGCTGTGTCGGTGTGTATTGCGCATGCTGTGTCGGTGTGTACTGCGCATGCACTATTGGGGTGTACTGTGCATGCTGTATGAGTGTGTATTGTGCATGCTGTATCAGTGTGTATTGTGCATGCTGTGTCGGTGTGTATTGTGCATGCTGTATCAGTGTGTACTGTGCATGCTGTATCAGTGTGTATTGTGCATGCTGTCTCAGTGTGTATTGTGCATGCTGTATCAGTGTGTATTGTGCATGCTGTGTCGGTGTGTACTGTGCATGCTGTATCAGTGTGTATTGTGCATGCTGTGTCGGTGTGTACTGCGCATGCACTATTGGTGTGTACTGTGCATGCTGTGTCGGTGTGTATTGTGCATGCAGTGTCGGTGTGTACTGTGAATGCTGTGTCGGTGTGTACTGTGCATGCTGTATGAGTGTGTATTGTGCATGCTGTGTCGGTGTGTACTGTGCATGCTGTATCAGTGTGTATTGTGCATGCTGTGTCGGTGTGTACTGTGCATGCTGTATCAGTGTGTATTGTGCATGCTGTGTCGGTGTGTACTGTGCATGCTGTATCAGTGTGTATTGTGCATGCTGTGTCGGTGTGTACTGCGCATGCACTATTGGTGTGTACTGTGCATGCTGTGTCAGTGTGTATTGTGCATGCTGTGTCGGTGTGTACTTTGCATGCTGTGTCGGTGTGTATTGTGCATGCTGTGTCGGTGTGTACTGCGCATGCTGTATCAGTGTGTATGGTGCATGCGGTGCCGGTGTGTACAGGGTACAATGCCTGCCTCCAGCACTGTAACAGGATGTCCATAGTAATGGCCAAGTGAGTACTTTGAAATCATGCTGCTGTGATCAGATGCCGTGAGCAGACTCAGCGGGCTTTACTCTTAACACTGAGTCTGTTTAAGTAGCCATAATATTTTTATTTTGGGGCTAGTTTGCAAAGTTATTCCTAAGTAATGCCATGAGAAAGATTGAATATTTTGCCCTTGAACTATGGCAAGGTTTTGTTTAACGCATCAGCCATTTATTTTGTATATTTACTGAGACATTTCCCACACTCCATGCTTCTCTGCTGGGGGGATCGGGGGAATGAGCAATCATTGGTTTTGTAATCACTGGGTTATGGGGCTTTGAGATTCATTTGTAATTAAGTCTGGGCATGGAAGGGTAAGGACCATTATTCTCTAAGCACCTGGCTGGTTGTTATATTTCACTATTCACAGAGCCCACATTGGCTGACTTAGATCCAGATTTTATTGGAGTCATTCAGTGATATCTCCCTTATTGATGGGATGAATTCCTTGGGTATTGTTGCTTCACAATTTCCAGTTCACTACAATTCACTTTTTCATGTTCTCTGCGTAGGTTAAATTCCTTAATAACCTTTCAATGCCAGGCAAGGGGTGATTTAATTAAAATCGTTGAATACAGCAAAATAAACGTGCAGCAATTGCTTCATTCCAAATAAAGATATTTCTGCTCAATGCTAGGTTTCGATGCACATTTCCCATCAATGACAGAATAATCTCTGCAGTCAGGACTGGGTTTACTTGTCATTAAACTATGGATAAGAAGATGTATTGGAGAATAACACGATTGCTTTGTTTTTTTTAACATGTGACACAGTGAGCCCCAAACCTGAATACTGCGTGATCGGTAATCCAAAGCCATCTCTAAAGGGAAATATTCATTAAAACAATTTTGTTTGTTTATGCAATTATGAAAATGTGAGCAAATTTTCATGTTTTTCCACCGAAGAGGGAATACTTAGTCTTCTCTTACACTAAAATGGACACTTATTAAAGCGGTTTACAAAGTCCTAGAAATCAGTGAAGTCACCAGGAACATTTCACTAGTGATTGTGAAACGTTTAGACATTTACAGCGCAGTTCTGATCACGACACTTTGATAAATCTCGCCTTTAGTCTCACAGTTCTATCTTGTTGTCATTGAGTAAGGCGGAGACACTGGGTATTGGGAATCCTTCGCAGTTATATGCAGGTTCTTCTCACATCCATTGTCCATTTTACTGAGCTTAGACACTAGGAAACAATTTGGTTTGGTTTGGAAATTCGGGTAAGAAAAAAAAAAAAATAGTCTGCTTCGGACCAATGGCATTCGGTTCGGCACTTCCAAAATTCGGGACTTCAGCAATTTGGACCCAAACCTTAACCCTAAACCCTAACCCACTAAGGCAATTCGGTTTGGCTATTCAGCAATTCAAACTTCGGACATTCGTAAGTATCCGAATTTCACAAAATTCGTCCGAATGTACATTCGGTACGAAACGAATTGCACATGTCTATTAGACACATATCACCTTCTGCACGGTCTCTAACCCCCTTTTCCTGACCATGGTCCCCCAGAAGGGTGCTGATAGGTTCCAGAACCACCTGGGGTTTTTGCCAAATGACCCCTGTATGAACAGATAGGTGGAGATCAGGGACGGCTCTAGAAGAAGATCAAATTATTTTGCTCCAATCCCAAACAAGCATATCCTGTCAGCATTAGGACAATTATAATTATATTACCCCTATCACCAAAGATCTGCCTCGCCCTCCCAAAGCACTCTACTGAGATAGGCTCTAGTCTGCTCCTCCTGCGAGCTCCGAACTGTCAGAACGTTGCTGTGTGTTAACATGACAATACTCCGACATTCCACAGGGGCTCTCAAGAGAGATATACTCAGTCTGCATCTGGACCGGAGCAACACTGGACCCCCGGGGTTTTCAATGTGTTGACTCCCTGGCACAAGGTGAGAAGCAGGGAAGGAGAATAAATCTATTATTTTTAATATGAATGAATAAACTGATCCTCTCTCAGCCCCCAAATCATCATATCCCACGGTCACCCCACACATTCACAGTACAGCCACTGTAAACACACACTGCATCCCATATAAAAAAATAAATAAAACCACACACACACTCACTGCATCCACTATATAGAACCTAAGGCTACTAAACACATGTACACTCAGAAACCACACTCAACATACCACTCTCAGCCCCCTCCACACACACACAACACTCAGCCACCACACACAGTCTCCCCTAAAAACATACAACACTCATTCAGTCCAGGCACATGCTACTTGGTGCATGCCAGCACTGGCAGGGAGAGACGGGAATTATGCTGCTGCCAACATACCAGACAGCCCAACATGGGATTTACTATGTGTGTTTTATGGCCAGTCCTGGCCTACCATGTCTACTGCTGCTGGGATGGGACGGGCTGGCTAGAAGAGAATTGGAAGGGCTGGCTCAAAAAAGAGCGGGTGGGGCGGGGGAAAACCCCAAAAACAAAATGAAACCGGGAACTGAATGCACGTCACTACTAATACATTCTCCCACTTTTTTTTTTTTTTTATGCCCGGTGCAAAGATTTGTTAGCCACAACTCCTCCTATCACTGCTGTTTATTACCGTGGGGAGGCCATGTTCATATTATTGTAATAAGTCTGCACTACAAGAATACTATTCACCAGTACAGGATATAGTTAAATGAACACTGTAGTCACCAAAACAACCTTAGCTTAGTGAAGTAGTTTTGGTGTATAGATGATGCCCCATGTAGTCTCACCGCACAATTCTCTAACATTTAGGTGTTAAATCGCTTTGTTTATGCAGCCCTATTCACACCTTCCTGTATGTGACTTGCACAGCCTCTCTAAACACTTCCTGTAAAGATAGATCTAATGTTTACACGTCCTTTATTTAATATTCTTATTTCCTGCTCTGTTAATAGCTTGCTAGTCACAGCAGGAGCCTCCTGTGTGTGATTAAAGGACCACTATAGTGCCAGGAAAACATACTCGTTTTCCTGGCACTATAGTGCCCTGAGGGTGCCCCCACCCTCAGGGACCCCCTCCCGCCCGGCTCTGGGGAGAGGAAAGGGGTTTAAACTTACCTTTTTCCAGCGCTGGGCGGGGAGCTCTCTGCCTCCTCTCCTCCTCCATTCCTCCCCGCCGGCTGAATGCGCACGCGCGGCAAGAGCTGCGCGCGCATTCAGCCCGTCGCATAGGAAAGCATTTACAATGCTTTCCTATGGACGCTGGCGTGCTCTCACTGTGAAAATCACAGTGAGAAGCACGCAAGCGCCTCTAGTGGCTGTCAATGAGACAGCCATTAGAGGATTAGGGGGAAGGCTTAACCCATTAATAAACATAGCAGTTTCTCTGAAACTGCTATGTTTATAAAAAATGGGTTAACCCTAGAAGGGCCTGGCACCCAGACCACTTCATTAAGCTGAAGTGGTCTGGGTGCCTAGAGTGGTCCTTTAAAGTTCAATTTTCAGAGCATGAGATAAATACTTTTAAAGATAGTAAAATATGAATGAAAGTAAAACCATATTGTTCTCATGCAGGCTGGATGAGTCACAGCCCGGGAAGGTGTGGCTAGGGCTTCAAAAACAGAAACAAAAGTGATTTAACTCTAAACAACACTAAATAGCAGAGAATTGAGCAGTGAGACTGCAGGGGCATGATCTATACACCAAAACTGCTTCATTAAGCTAAAGTTGTTTTGGTGCCCCTCTATTAAAGGTGTCCTTTTAATAGAAAGGGGCACCAGGCAGGATATGGTTGATGGAAGAGGTACTGGGAAGAATTAGGTTAATGTAAGCCCTGGGCAGGATAGGATTAATAGAGGCGCACTGGGCAGGATAGGGTTAATAGAGGCACTATTACAGGCATTATAGTGTACTGGGTAAGGGGTACTGGGCAGAATAGGGTTCTAATGTTGGGGTACTGGGCAGGATAGGGTTGTAATGTTGGGGTACTGGGCAGGATAGGGTTATAATGTTGGGGTACTGGGGGGATAGGGATATAATGTTGGGGTGCTGGGGGGGATAGGGATATAATGTTGGGGTACTGGGGAGGGATAGGGTTATAATGTTGGGGTACTGGGGAGAGATAGGGATATAATGTTGGGGTACTGGGGAGGGATAGGGATATAATGTTGGGGTGCTGGGGGGATAGGGTTATAATGTTGGGGTACTGGGGAGGTTAATGTTGGGGTGCTGGGAGGGATAGGGATA